GGGTGTTTTTTGGGGTTGCCTGCCACCCCCCCCCCCCCCCCCGTCATGTCAGGGTTCTGGTTCGTGATGTGGCCCAGAGGACGGACTGGGCCCGGGACCAGGGAGCCTGGCGCCCGGTGGAGCGGTGGGTGCTGGTCCGCCCCGCCCCGGGCGCGGTTACCTGGGTCTTGTTGAATTGCTTCACAGCTGCGGAGACCGCCCTCCTGGTGGCGCGTTCCCGATGCTCTAAGTCCTGGGCCCTCTGGTCAAACTGCAGCCTGGTCTCCGTGTACAGGTCCTCTGGAGCAAGCACGCAGTCAGGGCTGCGCCCCGCGTCCCTCCCGATGCGCGGGGTGACCTGTGTCCACTCCTATCCACCCGCATCCACCGAGATGCCTCGGGCTGCAGGGAGCCCCGTGTCCACTCCTATCCGCCCGCAGCCACCGAGATGCCTCGGGCTGCAGGGAGCCCCGTGTCTGCTCCTATCCACCCGCATCCACCGAGATGCCTCGGGCTGCAGGGAGCCCCGTGTCTGCTCCTATCCACCCGCATCCACCGAGATGCCTCGGGCTGCAGGGAGCCCCGTGTCTGCTCCTATCCACCCGCATCCACCGAGATGCCTCGGGCTGCAGGGAGCCCCGTGTCTGCTCCTATCCACCCGCATCCACCGAGATGCCTCGGGCTGCAGGGAGCCCCGTGTCTGCTCCTTATCCGCCCGCAGCCACAGAACCCAGATGCCTCGGCTGCTGGGAGACCCAGGCCTTAGTTCAAGTAAAGCTCTAGGTCAGCGCCTGGACGGAAGTGTCAGCGGTCGCTACTGTGGATTGGCACTGTCTGCCGTGGATTGGTAATGTTGGCTGTGGATTGGCACTGTCTGCCGTGGATTGGCAGTGTCTGCCGTGGATTGGTAATGTCTGCCATGGATTGGTCGTGTCAGCTGTGGTCCTGGGACAGGGAGCAGTGGGCTCCTTGTCCTCCACGACTTCTCAGGCCCCTACATCCTTACAACCGGCAAGGGATGGTGGAGCCCAGAGAAAAGGAGCTCTGCCATGGGAACCAGCTGGGGCTCCGCAGAGGAGGGAGGTCAGGGCAGAAGCACTTGGACGAGGAGGACAAGAAGGAGAAGGGGTCAAAAGTCGAGCGTCCCAACAGCGTAAAGCAAAGCACTGGGTCAGACGGTCTCCTAGCCCAGCCCGGACCTCCCAGCTCTGCTCACCGGACCTGCTTACCACCCCACCTTTCTGAGCCTCGGCGGGCGCTCTCCTGTGAGGCAGGGCGGCCCTACTTTGCAGGGTTGTTACATTTTAAAAAGTCAGTAATAAAGAAGGTTCTTCACACGATGTTTGTGCCTGGGGTCTCCTGTACGTCTCCAAAACAAAGACCAATATAGAGGTGATGGATTATACAACTGCACACCTGACACCTCTATAGCTGTATTAACCAGTGTCACCCCAATAAATTCCATTTAAAAGAAAAAAGACCAAACTCTTTCGTGGTGAATTCTGGCCTCTGCTCACCTTCAGCTTCACCTCTCACCTTGCGTTACCCTGTCCGTTCATTTAACATAGAAGTATGGCGAGCCTTACGTGGGCCGGCCCACACCCTGCTGGGAACCCCAGATGGAGTGGTGCCTCCCGGGAGCTTACAGTCCAGGAGATGAGCTGGATGACAAACAAGCAAACCCGAAATAGACGCGTCAATGCAGACTGTTTCAGTGCTACCGAGCGGAGGGAAAGGCCACTGGGAGGGGAGGTGTGGGGAGCACCTGCGGGAAGGAAAGGCCACTCACTGGGGGGGAGATGTGGGGAGCACCTG